GATAAGACAAATACACATATCGCCATGGACACACACGCACAGACATTTCTCTAGTGTCAGAGTTCAAGGTGTATAACCCAAGCACTGCTCTCCACTGAGGAAGTGGAGTTCTCCTACCCTCTCTATTGTAGAGGCCGTGGAATTCCATCAACGCTGCAAGATCAAGCTTGTTAACACACAGTAAAAAGCAATGAATAAGTTACAAAAGCCTTTGACATCAATACAGAAAGGTACCTGTCATTACTTACACTTCCTTTCTTCAATAAAAACAAACAGACAAACAAACACACACTATTAACAATACCCCTTACAGATGGCGTCTACTGGGGCATGGGCAGACTCATAGGATTATTTCAAAACAATTGAAATAACTGAAATCTATGGAGGGAAAAAACCTACTTAATACAGAATTATGGGAAATTTTAGTATTAGTTTTAATACAATCTTATATAAATAAAGCAAGAGCAACACTTCACATATAAACGACACAGCACTACTTAGCCCTAGTAGGTGGAACCCAAATAATACCTTTTCCCCCTGGCTTTTCATCCATTAAATGTCATTAATGCTTCCACTGTACTTGGTATAGTGTTGGTATTTTTTAATATAAGTCAAAGGATTCTCACCAAAGTTACTTACTTCGTTTAAATTACAGAATAATGCAGGTTATTGAATTCAATCCCCTAAAGAGTAAACTGACAATTGCACCTACACTAATGGCCAGCAGTTGAAGCGCTTCTTGGGAATGTGTGACGGAACTGGAAAAATTTAAATGTTTAGGCATGCGTGGGGAATTGCTCAAAGGAAAACATGTTAATCACAGAATGGGACAATGTAATCACGCTTGTGGTGGCATTTCACACGCCTCGGGAAGGCTCCGCAGCATAGAGCAGTAAATCATGAATTTACTTTCAGGGGCAGAACTGATATGCCGTCCTCTGAGTGCAGATGGGTCTGGAAAGGCAGGAAGCACAACACCGTATGCAAGCACGCTGAACAAACAGAGAAGTGTGTGCAACCTTCCCTGACCAAAATGGCACTTTTCCAGAATATTCCATTAAAGCTTCAACGCATGTTACATCCTATTCAGCTATGACACTTCTCAACCTGTACCCTCTAAATACGGCAATGATAACTATGAACTCCGCTTACTTTTATATATGAACTGCATTTATTTGTATGTATGTGAGTGGGTGCATAACTGAAGTTTTGCAATTTAAAAACTCTATAGAAAATCTGAGTTCCCTATACACGGATCCCAAGCCCTCCTTCCTGACATCTAGGGTGTCTCAAAGCAACAGCTGCTTTTTATTTGACCTATAAAAAGGGGCCCCCCAAAAAATATTTTTAAAAGAAATTATTCATGCCTTCTGATGTCACAAAACAAAAAAGAAGGATGTTCAAAGAGCACTGAACCAAAAGTCTGCAAACGAGGTTTCTGGGTTTTGCCCTGACACTAGGATGGCCAACTGTCCCAGTTCTGCTTCGACTGAGGGATTTCCCAGGGTGGGGGACTTTCAGTGCTAAAACTAAGAAAGGCCCAGGCAGATCAGGACAAGTTAGTCTCCCTCGGCGTGACCAGGCTAAATCTCAACCCCCTGGGAGCAGAGCTCCCTGGCTGCCAACATTTGGATGGGATAAAGGGAATAGGGAGGGGACAGGAAGGCCTCCAGGGCCCTTTAGTGTTGTTGTTTTTTTTATTGAATTTATTGGGGTGACATTGGTTAATACAATTATATAGGTTTCAGGTGTACTCTTCTCTGCCAGTATCTGTATATTGTACTGTATGCTCCCCACCCTAAGTCAAGTCTCCCTCCATCACCATTTATCCCCCATCCCCTCTCTCACCGTCCCCCACCCCCCTTGCCCTCTGCAATCACCATACGGTTGTCTATGTCTGCAGGGCCCTTTAGTTCTAATTTCCTATGACCCTGGGAAATATTTATACCATATTTGATTGAATTATATGGTGTATGCCAAAAGGGAAGGTACCTTTATGTAGGTCAGGGAACTCTGGAAATATTTTGTGAAGCTACACATTAAGTTTGGAGTTATATAAGCTTAATAGTAAAACAGAGCTAGGAGTTTTCAGGGGGGTTTTTTTCATTTCTATAGCAAAGAGGAAAAATAAGCTGCTTCTAGAAAATATCAAGCCAACAAAGAAAATCCTTCCAACACCAAAATCTAGCTTAATCCCATCTATCCCCCTCCACCCCCTTACTTCCCAGCTCAAAGGAAACCTAGGCAAGACAGCTGTACAAAAGCATAAAAACAGGAAATATTACTTTGAATATATTTCTACAATTTTTTTAAGAATCTACAAAGGTGTGGTTACAAGTAACTGCAAAATTCTAGAGCAAAGGCAACTGTTTCAACTAGCAACTCACAGTAACAGTAGTCATAAAAGCAAAAGATAAATAAGGCCTTGAATAGTTTCAAATATGTTCTCTAATTTGTATCTTTAATCCTGAAAAATCCATTTTAGAGAATAGAGTCAGAATCTCAGGTGTGGTAAAATCAGAACAAATCTTCCGGTGCCCTCTTTCCTCTCTGGGTATTCCAATTAGGATAACATCTGACTTCCTGCTACTAATAAAGATCCTAAATGAAAGCATTTGTGCCATGAAGACTGAGTTATGAAAAATATCTAAAAGCACAACTAAGAAATTCGTCCTGTCAAATACTTCTTTTAAAGGCAATAACGTTCAAGGGAAGTTATAATAAAATGCCTCTGTTCATTTTTAGTAAAAAATAGGTAGCTGAACTGTCTTTAGGATTTATCCAATATGCTCCTTTATGAAAAGTCTGACATCTCCAACAGAAATTTCTTACTTGTTACTGAAGGGCCGCCTCACAGTCTGTGTGTGTATTCACACATGTGGCTCTCCATGTGCACATACAGGAATTTGCTTCTCCTTGCCTCTTCACACTGAAGCTTCTCCCCCCAAATCAGTGAATCGTTTCTGCCCAAATCTGTCACAGACACTGTGGAAATACGAAGGCGTGTACAAAAAAAGAGGATCCCAGTCTTCAAGAGTACTTGGGGAAGATTAAGACATAGTATTCCCACGAAGAGTTCCCTGGGTCAGCAAAATGGATGGCTATTGTATCTTCATTAGTAATATTGGGATGCTGTCATCTGCATATTATTTGCATAAATCACAAAGCCTTAATCCAAATAGGTAAGAAAAAATAAATCCATGCTATTTATTTTAAATATATTAAAATACAATAAATATACAATAAATAACATAGTTTACTTTGCGTGTGTACTGGGTAGTATACCACTTGTGCAGTAGTAGGAAAGAGGAGGTGAGATTCTTAATGGCCAAAATATCACATAAACTCAGGAAATTGGGGAAAAGGAACAGTTTTGTTATTATTACCTCAGCAATGGCAATGGCAAAGAAGTGTGGCTTCTCAAAACCCAGAGGTTTTGTTACGAACAAGCTGCTGGGCTTGGTTTTAGAGATGCAGGTATTAGCCCTTCCTCCTTCACAATCGGACCATCTCTTTCCTGGTTTTCTACCTGTACTACTTGAGGTCTAAACTAGATGATGGCTGATATTCCTTTAATGAACACTTCTGGTAACCCCTTCTTTGATAAATATATCAAGGTCCCATCCTCTCTCTGTTCCCTCCCCCACACACACACTAAATTACAGTGTACAATATTATTCATTAATTTACTACTTTAATTTTTTGGTGTTTAAACACTTAATTTATGGCAGCTGGTTAACAAAAGCAAAAATTTTAAATTCACCTTGCTAAAATTTAGCACTAAACGGTCATCAGTTTTAGATCTAATCCTAATAATCTACCCAGATTCATGTGACATCTTATTCAATAGTGTTGCAAGAAGTTTTGGTGTAGCCATAATTCACAATGGTGAAGATCAGATCAAATAATTATTCATTTGCTTTCAGATCAAATAAGTATTCAGATCAAATAAGTATTCATTGCTTTCAACTGGCTTAAAATGGCTAAGCTACACAACATCCAAGAATAAGAAAATACTCATTTCTTTTTTTATCATAACCCAGTGACAACATCTAGGCATGATTTTGGTATACATAAATATCCTTTCATTTGGTAAGATTTAAACCCATGTCGTTCAGTTGAAAAAAAGAACAGAACAAGAAATACGTGGGTTGCGTTATCATTTTTTATGTGAAAATCTTCTTGTTTGGACATCTGAATGTTAGGACCATTACCACCTAATGACAGCAATGAAATCAAATAAAATAACTCTAATAAACTGCTAAATAATATAAGCTCTCTTCATTCTAAAATACTCTTTTGAGTCATTTCAGTAAAGAGATTTTAAAAATCCAAAATGAAAGAAGTGTAGACATACTCAAGTTTCACGAAGCTGCGTGATAAAGTGAATAATAGACACAAAAATAAATCTGGGAATTGAAGAATGTGCTGGAAAAGTTTTCCAAATACTATTCTTGCTTGTATCTAGCTCCATTATGCAATTTAAATAGAGCCAAATTTTTTAAGTATTTGTTAAACAGTTCCTGCATGTGACATATGTTTCCAAGATACTTCTGACATTGATATGAGAGATTATAAAACATTTAGAAATGAAAATGTTACTCTCCAACAAAAAACACCATAACTTCCAAGCTTCCTCTGAATTCATAAGATGGAAAAACAGTTGGAAAAATAGTAGCTTTCCATTCTAAAATGTTCAAATAATATACTTTAAAACAAAAAAATATGTAATTGTTCAAGGAAGGAGGAGACAAGTATAAATAAAATAAGATCCTAAAATTAACTCTAGAAATCATTTCTTTTCCTTAGCAGTCTCAATCCTGTTTACTCCATAATAAGTAAATTGTTTTATCCCTTCAGCTGGGAAGGACAGTTTTTATCCTACCAAGATGATAACAGTGCCACGCTGCAGTGCTCACCGAGCAAGAAACACATAAATATGAAGTAGCATCAACTCTTTCTACCAAACAAAGTGTATGCAAGACTTGATTTGCAATGCATTAATTTAGGAACTCGGCGGAGAGGCTCCTACTATATCTAGCTGATCTAAACTTGAGCTCATGATAACACTGTACAAAGCTGTGGTAGATGAAAGTGATAGGTAATGCCAATAGAACAATTCCACTGACAACACAGACTCCTCCAAGAATTCTTCCAGGCATTGTGATAGGATACATATCTCCATAGCCAACTGTAGTCATAGAGATAATCACCCACCAGCAGGCAGCAGGGATGCTGGCGAAGTCCTTGTTGGATGCTTCCAGGTCCAACCCATGTTCAAGAAGCTGAGAAAGTGCACTGAAGATTGCCATGGCAACACAAATGAAGACAAGTAACATAACCATCTCTCGATAACATCGTTTGAGAGTCAAACCAAGTGTCTGAAGACCAATGAAGTGACGGGCAAGCTTAATCACCCAAAAAATCCTCATCATTCTAAGCACCCTCAAGGTGACTCCAGCCCTCTGGAGTTGAGAGTTCTCGCCTGTAAATACTGTCATTAACACGGAGATGTAATATGGCGTGATTGCCAGCAAGTCAATGATGTTCAGGGGTCTCTTGACAAACTCACACTTGTTTTTGGAGACGATGAACCTCACGATGCACTCCGCAGTGAACCAACCTATGCAGATGGCTTCAATTATCCTGTCAAGAGAAGAAAAGAAGAATCGATCATTTTATTTTTAAGCATTTTAATAGCTCTTAAGAGTTTTTCAGATAGTACTATACTGACATATTAATTCAGTTACTTATTCCAGAAAACATAAAGAACAGACAGTATTACCAACATCATCGGACCCACCAGGACGCAACAGAACAACAAATATTACAGTTCAAGTGAAAATTAAACTTGAGAAAGGTCTTATTGACATACTGCATGTAAAACCATTAACTTTTTTGAAAAAGATTTTAATTATTTATTTTTTAGAGAAAGGAGATGGTAGGGAGAGAAACATCAATGTGTGGTTGCCTCTCACGCGAACCCCCCACTGGGGACCTGGCCTACAACCCAGGCATGTGCCCTGACTGGGAATTGAACCAGCAACACTTTGGTTCACAGGACGGCACTCAATCCACTGAGCTACACCAGCCAGGGCTAAAACCATTAACTTTTTTTTTTTTTTTTGCTTGTCACTAATACTTAAAATCTCTCTTATTTTGTGAATTGAAATGAACTAGTGCTCAGCTAAACGCAACATGACACGTTATGTATCTTGTGAGGGCGGTGATTCTCAACTGTGGTGTCAGTTACGAGATAGGTCAGAGGACTTTGTTCCTATACAGTAGACACACCCGAGTTTTCAATGATGTATTTTTTTGTAAATTAGAGTGAACACAAGATCACTTCTCAAAATGGTACTCTGTATAGGCTTGGTGTGGGAGACACACGGCGGAGCCAGCTCTCCGGGCTTTGCAGGACCGCCGCGCACTCACCAGCAGGGCACCGCCACCCCGTGACTGGCACAGCGCAAACAAGGCTGAGGACTCTTGCACTGGAGCAAATCAATCACTGGGATGAATTTTCCCAAAGACCCCGCTGGCTTTCCGTAGCAATTTTTATGCAACATACATGTTTAAAAGGCCACACGTTAGCTAGAGCAGTATTTACCAACCCTTCCCCATCACTGCACGCACTGAAACTGAGTATCATACCTACACAACATACCAGCACCAAGGAGCTATGTTCCTAAAGCAGAAGCCACCTGCCTGGGGCTTCTTGCCCTTGCCCGCAGTCCCGAGGCTGAGAAAATGAAGTCTGAGCACACCAGTCAGGAAGCTTCGATCCAGAATAAGAGGTAATTCTGAGGTAATTTTTAATTAAATTACATTTTTAGGTTCAAATTAAAAGTGATTAATTACTACACCATCATTCATTTGTCTTTGCATAATTCTTTCCCATCACTGACCTTGACCCAAACATCAGAAGTGCCATAGAGAGACAAGATATTAGAGTAGGTGAGACAGGAAAGACCACAGGGCAACGTTTTGAAAAGAACTCCTCCCAGTGCACGTCACAGGATGCAAGTCGCACTGGAGGTTACTCGGGGAAACGGACACACAGAACTAGCCATGTTCCCCCACTGCCGGATTCGCAGGCTGTAAAGATAAATTTTATTTATTATTTGACTAGGTAGTACATTCATATAGTTCACATTTCAAAGGTAAGAAACAGAGGATTCAAGGAAAGCTCTCGCTCTCACCCCCTTGCCCAGCCACCCAGTCTCCCAGGCTTCATTCCAGCCACCAAAGCCTCCGGGCACTGTGTGTAAGAGCACCAGCCGCGGACCCCCGAGAAACTGCAGACCCAAGCATATTACTGTCCTGCACTGCTGTAAAAAATCACCACCAACTTGGTAGCTTAGAACAACAGAAAATTATTCCCTCCTAGTTCTAGAGGCCAGAAGTGCAAAATCAGCATCACTGCGCCAAAGTCAAGCGTTGGAGGGCCAGGCGCCCTGCGAAGGCTCTCGGAGAGAATCCCTCCCCTTGCCTCTTCCGCCGCTGGTGGCTGTGGGCCTTCTCTGGCTGACGAGCCAATCGTTGTAATCTCTGTCTCCAGGGTCCCACTGCCTCCTCCTCTTCTGTCACTGCGTCAAGATCTCTCCTGAATCCTTCTTATGGAGAGGAACGTCCTTCTTAAGGAGACGCGTGGGACAACATTTAGAGCCCACTGGAATAATCCAGGATGGTCCCCCCATCTCAGGATCCTTAATTTAACCACACCTGCACCGCCCCTTTTGCCACCTATGACAACATCCACAGGTTCCAGGGGTTAGGACATGATGTCTTTGGGGGCAAAAGCCTACCACACAAACTCAGCAGCTGAAGTCATAGCTGCCTCCACTATTTCTCTACTGTATTATCTGCCGCTCTGCTCATGGACCCCATTACTCTGCGGTTGGCAGCACTTCCCTGTCCCCATCAGAGTATCAGGAAAAGCTGCTGCCATGACAGCTTCTATGAACCTGGAGGCTTAGAAAACTGGGAGAGTGAAGAAACTTGGCAGATCTGAAGGAGAAGCCGCATTTTTTTCAATATATAGTTTCAACATATATATAACCATATATCACTTCTCCTTGGTAATGCTCATCAAATATTCCATAAGTCCCCCACATTTCCAGCCCCTCTGCAGTTAGGCAGGGTCCTGTGACCAGGTCGGACAGATGAGCTGTTTGCCAAATGATTCTATCACTTCGGGGCAGGAGCACAGAATGAGTGCTGATTCTCCTCCCTGCCATGGCAACCTGGAAGGCCTGTGCCCTCCGAAATGGCCACAAGACAGCAGGGCCCCTATGAGCCCAAGTCCCTGAGTGTCTGCGCAGAGAAGAACCTGACTCTGATTGGACCCAACATGTGAGCAACAAATAAATCGTTGTTGGGTTAGGTCACTGAGATTTCTAAATGCGTTGTTATCCTAGGTAACAAACTGGTTGGTAAACACAGTAAGATCCGCAGACAACGGTAACAGCAATGGTTTTCTTGCAGTGGCTATGGTTAAAATGTCACCAGTTCTCCAGCTAACGTAAGGGACAAGGGACATGAGCAAGAGGGCTGCACCTGCTCCCGCTCTGAGGGAGGACCCTCGCCTCTCACGGGGCACAGTTGTATTGATCTCCTACGGACTCTCCTGGCAATAAAATCCTGAGATTCTATTAAATTAAGAAGAGTAAACATTTTAATTGTGCCAGAAATACCAGAACATTTTCTGTTTAATTATTTCCACCAGCAGCCAAAGTTGTTCAGATAAAAAGGAGGAAATCCAAATGGTGCAGAATAATCCCTCAGTAAAAGAATTTCAAAGGGGTGAACTCCTCCATAATGAGGACCCCTGGGCTCTTCCTGCCCACCCCCCAAATCAGATACAGTTCGGCCAGACTCCCACGCTAACAGGACGTATCAGCGGGAGCCCTGGCGTCTCCCTCCACCCAGGAGTTTGCCAAGGCCGTCTCCAACAGCCAGCGCCACCAAGCCTGCCCGAACCCCCCACGCTTCCGAATGGCACTCTTGCCAATACCACCACCGACAACTCCTGGAAAACCGAGTACTGTTTTACTGAGCGCCACAGCCAACAGCTGGGTGTTCCCGAAAGTTCCTGCCACAAAACACACACACGCAAAAAAAGAACTAAAGCAGATAGTAGGGAACAACATATTTTTTTGAAGCCTATTCTGATTCCTTAGAGGCCAAATATATGGAAGATCGTGGATTTGTGGCTGATAAAAGTATATTTTCCTCTTATTGAGGCCTTTCAGTTGGGCAGCGTACTAGGCACTTTACAGATCATCATCTCATTTAATCCTTTCCAAGAATTCCAAGAAGTGCCTATTCCCCCTCCTATCTCTATTTTACAGATGACAAAACTGAGGCTGAAAAGTTAAACATCTTTCAAGGTCATGCAGCTAAAACATGACAGTGGCACATGTAATGAAACTTGGATCTATTGGGTTTTGAGGTTCTAAGGAACCTTTAAAAATGCTAATGATTTTATGACAATGTTCACTGTTAATATTAAATGATATATGTCAAACAGCAGCATTTTTCAAACTGTCGGTTCTTAACCCATTAATGGATCGAAACTGACATTTTTCAGGAAAAAAAATTGAAAATATCAGAGTATATCAAAGTGCTCTGCAGGATCTCGCCTCCTCACACCCACCTCCTCAGGCTGTCCTTGCTTTTTCCACTTTCCCTGCAGCAGACAGGAGCGTGCGGCGCTCTCCGTCGCCTGAGTAAGCAGGGCTCTACCTCCTCACTGCACAGCAGTTTCTCCTCTGCTGTGCCTCTGACCTCGGTTTTGGCCAACACACACACCAGATCCACACACTTTCTTGACAGATGAACAGAGACCAATGACCCTCTACAAAGAAACAACCAGGTTCTCGCCCTAATATCCAAGGACTTGCTCTGCTAAGGCAGGGGGCTACTCATGGCATATCAATCTCCATCGAAGATTAGAGTGTTTCTGTGAAAACTTACAGACAATTACTACAAATAAGCCTTACCTCCTTGCCTCTTTCTGGCATAATCAATTCTATTTTCAACCCCAAAGCACAAATTAAGTGCGTTTTGGTAGAACCGGAGGTACAGGCATATCTCAAAGACATTGCAGGCCTGGTCCCAGATCATCATACGAAGCAAGCATCTCAATAAAGCCAGTTGTAATCTTTTTGCTGATGGAGGGTCCTGCTTTCAGTTTGTGGGGAAAAAAACACCACCATCACCTTTTGAAGCACAATCAAGCCAAGCACAATAAAATGAGATATGCCTGTGGCATATATCTACTAAGTGTGACTTGGTAGAGATGAACGCTACAAATTAAGAATGAAATGGTTATGACGCTTTGTCAACGTGGCAATTTTTAACTTTTTGAGATGGCAGACTGAGACCATTCGGCATACAAAAGAAAACAGAATGGTATTATCAACCAACAAGTATGCAGCCCCATCAACCATCGGCCTACAGCCAATTCCCCACCCACATCCCCTTCCCTCCTCAAGTACTATTTTGAAATGAATCTCAGATGTGGACATGTATTCCAGAACCCTCTCTCATTCCCCCTGCCTGGTAGGTCAACCAAGTGTTCACTAATGTCCCTGACTTCAGTCTGGGTCTCGTGAGACAGATCAGTTCTAGCCAGTCCTGGA